TCACTCATAACTAACACGCACACAAGTTCGCGCACAGTAAAATTTAGGTATTTATGAATGACTACCGCATTGTCAAAACTTTGTGCTTTTTAGGGAATAGAATGGCATTTTTTTTTTTGGAAAAAAAAATGTTTGTTTTTTATTTCAATAAACGATTATACTACCGAGTCAGAACCTCCTGTGTAAATTTGGGCACTTCTCAAAAAATCTTATACTTATGGCCGTGTGACTTTCAAAATAAAATCTTTTAATTTTAAATTTGACACGCATTTAGTCTTTAAAAATTACTATCACCCCACTATTTAATTACACTATCGATACCAAATTAACTAATTAATATGTAACGTTAATATTTTCCAAACAAGTGCCGCCGAAGTTATGGCTGCGTGCTTGAAGTTGGTTGGCACAGGTAGGGACTGACTAATGAAATATTAACATGAAGTTATAACTTTATGGATTTTAACTTTAATTGCGTATTATTTCCTAAAGCTTTATAAATTACAATGTAATTTGGTGCCGCGATAGGACATAGTAAAAAAAAGTAAAGTAACAGCCTGTACATGTCCCACTGCTGGGCAAAGGCCTCCTCTATACAGAGGGTATCAGGGCATAGTCCACCACGCGGCCCCACTGCGGATTGGCGGACTTCACATATCTTCGAAATATTTTTTGTTATTATTTCGAAAATATGCAGGTTTCCTCGCGATGTTTTCCTTCACCGCGGAGCACGTGATAAGACAGCACTTAAAGTTAAAAACTTCGTTGGTGCCGGCACCGGGGATCGAACTCAGGTTGCTCGAGTATATTGAATTAAAGGCGAGCGCCCGGACACTGAGCTATCACGGCTCACACTGAGCTATCACGGCTCGATAGGATAGGACATACGCGCTCTTAATCATTAATTACCTTTTTAATGTAATCAACACCGATAATTATAATTTTTTACTTCAATCTTACAAACGATATCATCAGATTCGTTAATATTTTTCAGATGTTTGCGAATAAGAACATGCATAATCTTTAAAGCGATCTATTAAGTTATTAGTTTCCGGTTGGTGCGTTAGTAAAATTTTCTAACTGCGTGTACGTAAAAACAAAAGAGTCATGGTTTTAATGCAAGTTTTAGAACTTCGATAACTCATTTCAAATGTTTTTAACGACACGGGAGCTGCGGGTGCACGTGGGCGGCGGTAGCCACTTCACATAAGGTGAATCGTCCGTTCGTTTACTACATTCTCACTAAATAAGGATAAATCATTAGTAAATGAATTTTTTTTTTTTTTTATGGGAAAAAAGCAGCAAACGAGCAGGAGGCTCACCTGATGGTAAGTGATCACCGCCGCCCATGGACATCCGCAACACCCGAGGGCTTACAAATGCGTTGCCGGCCTTTTAGGAATGAGTACGCTCTCTTCTTGAAGGTTCCCAGGTCGTAACGGTTCGGAAAGACCGCCGGCGGCAGCTGGTTCCACATAGTGGTTGTGCGAGGCAGGAAATGCCTTGAAAATCGCGCTGTTGTGGAACGCTGGACATCGAGGTGGTGTGGATGAAATTTTTGGTTTTGGCGCGATGTCCGATGGTGAAATTCAGCCGCTGGGATCAATCCAAACAATTCCTCGGAACACTCCCCGTGATAGATGCGGTAGAAGATGCAGAGTGACCCAACATCTCTACGCATAGCCAAAGGATCAAGCTGATCGGAAAGACCTTGATCGTCGATAACCCTAGCTGCCCTAAGTTGGATGCGGTCAAATGGAAGAAGCTGGTAACAGGGGGCTCCCGCCCAGAGGTGAGAGCAGTACTCCATGTGGGGCCGAATTTGCGCCTTATAAAGGTTTAGGCGTTGAGCCGACGTGAAGTACTGTCTCGCCTTGCTGAGCACACCGAGCTTCTTTGAGGCCAATTTGGCCTTACTTTCCAATTGACCGCGGAACTGGACATTGCTCGAGATTTCGACGACAAGTATTCCGATACTAGCTGTGACAGACAGGTGAGTGTTCTCAAAATGAGGAGTCACGACAAATGGGGACTTTTTAGCGGTTAACGCGCAAACTTGTGTCTTATCGGGGTTGAATTGGACCAAATTTAGTCGACCCCAGTCTGAGACTTTTGTTAACAAAGTCTCGACTTCAGACACAAGTTTTTTCCGGCTCTCGTAGACGTTTTCCCGAGAAATGTTAGCACGGCCTGTGTACGAAACATCCACAGTGCTATCATCCGCATAGCAATGAACGCTGCTGATTTGCAACATATCATTGATATGCAGAAGAAACAAAGTGGGGGACAGTACGCAGCCTTGTGGAACACCAGCATTGACAAATTTAGGATCAGAGCATGCACCGTCGACGACGACTTTGATGCTCCGATCTGCCAAAAAGCTAGTGATCCAGTTGCATAACTTCCCGGGAAGCCCATAGGAAGGCAGCTTCGAAAGAAGTGCTTTGTGCCACACCCGATCAAAGGCTTTCGCTACGTCCAGACTGGCTGCAAGCGCCTCCCCCTTGCTCTCAACTGCTTCTGCCCATCTGTGTGTCAGGTAAACCAGAAGATCACCGGCTGAGCGACCTCGACGAAAGCCGTACTGGCGGTCGCTAATCAGCTGGTGCTCCTCTAGGTACCGCAGGAGCTGGCAGTTAATGATGGTCTCCATTATCTTGGAGAGCAAGGAGGTGATGGCTATAGGCCTGTAGTTGGACGGATCCGAGCTGTTGCCTTTCTTAGGGATCGGGTGCACTAAAGCGGCCTTCCAGGTTTTCGGGAATACGCCTAGAGTATAGGAGAGCCGGAAAAGACGCGTCAAAACCGGTGCCAACTCTGGAGCACATGTCTTCAACACGATCGGAGGGATGCCATCGGGCCCACTCGACTTATGAATGTCCAAGGAAAAGAGTGCTCTGCGAACTGCACTTTGCCGAAATTGAACCTCCGGCATCGTAGCATCGCAACGCGGGATTGTTGGTGGTAATTTTCCTCGGTCATCCAAAGTCGAGTTGGACGCGAAGAGAGAGCCCAGAAGATCGGCTTTCTCCTTCGCGGCATGGGCCAGCGAGTCATCCTCCGTGTGCAGGGGTGGAAAAGAAGGCTTACAGAAATTTCCCAAGACAGCTTTGGCGAGAGACCAAAACGCACGTGTTCCCGTTGGGAGACGCGCCAATCTCTCGCCAATTCTGCCAATGTGTTCCGATTTCGCCTTAGCAATAACACTTTTGAAGGACCTAGAGGCAGAGTTATACGTCTTTTTTAAAGCGCTGGTTTTTACATCACTAGACGACGAAGCGTCAGCCCAAGCCTGGTAGCATTCCCGCTTTCGGCGTAATGCCAACTTACAGAAGCGACCAAACCAAGGCTGCGACTTGCCACCAATGGGCACTGCAGAGAACGGAATATAGAGTTCCATACCTTGAAGCACCACATCAGTCACTGAGTCAGCAACGACGTCTGGATCATCCGGCGAGAAGCAAATCTGCCCCCATGGGTAGGACGCAAAGAATGACCGCATCCCATCCCAATCTGCTGACCTATAATGCCATACGCGGCGGCAGCCCACAAAGTGAGGCCGCGTTAAGCGCGTTATTGGCACTGTGCTCCGGACAAGACAGTGGTCCGACGAGCCGAGGGGAGGATCGACGGAAACCAAGTATCCGTCCGGATGAGAGGTCAACAGAAGGTCCAACAGGGAAGGTGTATGATCCTCCACATCAGGGATTCGCGTTGGCGAGGTAACCAGTTGTGTCAGATCATATGTCAATGCGAAATCGTGAGCAGATCTCCCCGCGTGGTCGGTGGTACGAGATCTAAGCCACTCGGCGTGATGAGCGTTAAAGTCGCCGAGAATTACGATCTCCACGGATGGGATCTGCTGCAACACGGAATCTGTAGCCATTTGTATGTGCTCAAAGAGTCGGTCAGTTTCGGCATTACCGCTATGGGACCTATACAGACAAGCGTAGATTCGCGGATGGTCGTCGCAGTCTACGCGTAGCCAGAGTATGGATAGGTCCCGTCCTTCAAGAGCATCGAGGCGACGAGAGCATATATCCTCTCTGACGTACACGCACACCCCAGCCCGCGGCACAAAGGAATGTTCCAGTTTGTACCCCGGGTAGGAGAGGAATGAGGTGTCAGCTGGAGAAGATATCTGCGTCTCGGTAAGGAAGAGCAAGGCCGGCTTCGCCGTCTCAAGATGGAAGTGGACGACGTTTAAGTTGGAATTTAGCCCCCTTATGTTGCAAAAGTCCACGGCATGCGAGGAAGAGGTGGCCTTATGTTGCCTGCTCCGTTTGCCCCGAACAGGTGTGGTGAGCGCAAAATTGCCCCCCCCAGAATACGAAGGGCAGCCTGGGCATTCACGCTCAGACGTTGTACGGCCTGCGCGTGGACGTCCAGGGAGGGATTCTCCACCGCGCTGTATGCTGGTGGTACCCTCCTGGGGTAGAAAATTTAAATTTCGCGCAGACATTATGGGGGAGGAATGGGGAGAGGGCGTCCGGGACTCTCACAGACCAAACGAAACGCGACAGCATAGCTGCCACTTGACGTCGGTTTCTAGTGAGAGAGTGGTTCTTCCCCGGGCGTGCCGGCCCAATTCGGCTGCTACCCGAAGGTGCGCAGCATGGCATTACCACTAGTTGGGTTGACTGACTGCACTGGTGGAATAATCTCTGTCACAAGATTATCCCACCAGCGGGCGATGGGGTCGTCACGTCCCGACGCCGAATCGAAAAATCCAACTGCATTAAAAATAATAAACATTCCTCTATTCTTATTTCGCGGACACCATATTGGAATAATATACTCTATGTCAGTCCCACAACTGAAACGAATTTAATGGCACCTAATAAGTCGAAATCCTTCAAGAGGTTCAGGCTATCGAGCGTACCAAATAATTAGATATACATAAGCTCGAACAGCAGCCCTTCTTCGGCAGTCGGGTAAAAAAACGTTCGATTTAGTAACAAGTAAGTAGACGGCAGGTTTTGAAAAAGCGTCTACTTCAACAGAGGCGCTGAAGGCGTACAGCGAGAGGCTGAGCGAATGGGAGAGAAACGAGGTGAGGAAGTACCCGGAGGTGTGGTTCCTGGGGCTGGACGCGAACAAGGTGCAGGCGCGCACCAACCTGCCCAACAACTGCGGCTTCGACGACGAGAATGGCAGTTACAACAAGGTGACATATTTTTTTTATTTCATACAAATTCAAATTCATAACATCTCTTGCACGTTCTTATGAAACGTCGACTTATACATGAAAGTTGATACATAAGCTCGTTAGTAAGTTAAAGTGGGTTCGGAAAGCACTTTCTTTTGAGAAGAGACCGGCAAAAAATACTGTCGGGTATACACAGAAGTAATAACGAAGTTTAATCTGTCCGCAGCAAATCAACGACCACATAGCGTACCGCTACGAGATCCTCGAGGTGATCGGCAAGGGCTCCTTCGGGCAGGTAATACGCGCCCTGGACCACCGCAACGGGAGCCAGGTGGCGATCAAGATCATCAGGAACAAGAAGCGCTTCCACCACCAGGCGCTGGTGGAGGTGCGCGTGCTCGACCACCTCCGGCTGAAGGACAAGGACCAATCGCACAACGTCATCCACATGCTAGACTACTTCTACTTTAGGAATCACCTTTGCATCAGCTTCGAGCTGATGAGGTTAGTTGTGACCATCAAACTCTCTTTCAGGCACACACACGAAGGAATTGATTGGCCGTTATTAATTTTCGATTTAGCAAAAACTTAAAAGATACGAGTACATTGGGAGTGGGATTCTCTGCCAGCTAGTTCACACAGCTATATGCTCTCCGTGATAGCTCAGTGTCCGGGCGCTCGCCTTAATTCAATGTATACTCGAGCAACCTGAGTCGATCCCCGGTGCCGGCACCAATGAAGTTTTTAACTTTAAGTGCTGAATTATCACGTGCTCCGCGGTGAAGGAAAACATCGTAAGGAAACCTGCATATTTTCGGAATAATAACAAAAAAAAAAATGTATTTCGAAAATATGTGAAGTCCGCCAATCCGCAGTGGGGCCGCGTGGTGGACTATGCCTTGATACCCTCTGTATAGAGGAGGCCTTTGCCCAGCAGTGGGACATGAATAGGCTGTTACTTTATAATAATAATAATCTTTATTTTTTTTTTACTATACGAGTACATTGGGAGTGGGATTCTCTGCCAGCTAGTTCACACAGCTATATGCTCTCCGCCTCCCATTTATTGTTAAAAAATTAAATCTGAACTCACCAGCAAATATAACTCTGGACCATTTTTAATCAGTCAAATGGAGTCAATCAGTCAAAAGTAACGTGCTTTCGTTAATGAACGAAAATCAAAAAAATTATACGAGCTATCTATTTAAACAACTGCAGAAGATATCACGATTTTTCTCTGTGAACCAGTATTTGTGTGACGTATTTTAGCGAAACAGCGTGCTTATGCGTAGCTTAAGGAGTTCTTTTTAACTTCATTTGAAGCAAACAATTATGTGAATTAAATACTTATGACCTTTTACGTTACAAAAGAACACAATTTAGGGTAAATATTGCTAGTTATACGAGATAAAAGACTGGGATAGGGCCACGCAGAAATCTGCTGTTGCGCGAATGATTAGGCTCGTTGTAGAAAGCACCACGACCTCACAAAAGACCGGCGTGAATTGCATGTGCTATAAATTTGGGATTTCTGATGAGTGAACCAACCGATGCGCACTTTATTATAGGTGGAGATCACTAAATATCACTTTCTTACAGAAAAAAATTACTGCATCATCAAAATCTGTTTTCATCCTTTCTAAAACTTGTGTGTGAATTCTTTGTGATGTATATTAGTTGCAAAAGAACACACGGAAAGATAAATGAACGACTTAAAATTTTTCATCTTGTTAATTTTTATTCGTGTCTCATATTCCCCAACGAAAATACTGTTTGTTAATTTCAATAATTTTAATGAAATTTCTACAAAGCTTCTTAAAAGAATCCCGAAAAATAAACTTAATATTTAAGAACAATTTGCTAGTAAGGTTTTACTACTGGTTATGAGTGTAAAAAAAACTACATTCAGATTTTTTTAGTTGATCTAAATTTAGATCGGCAAAGTATTTGCTGTGGGTCGAGTACGTGACCAACCTTTGCGAGATTTGTATAGCTTTGCAAGTGTCACAGAAAAATTAAATTAACTCTACTTTGAAAAGGGCTTTAGGTACTTTAGCTTTTAGCCCCGGCTTATAGCACTCTTGTCGTAATAACTTGAATATTTTAAGAGTAAAATAAAATGTTACATTTTCAACTTTTTAATAACCGAGGACGTTAAAGCTTTTATTAAATGTTTTTTTTTACTTTACTGCTTACTTTTTTCAGCATTAACCTGTATGAGCTCATCAAGAAGAACAACTACCAGGGATTCAGCCTGAGCCTCATCAGACGCTTTGCAAGCTCGCTGCTTCGGTGCTTGAGGCTATTGGAGGCCGAGAACATCATACACTGCGATTTGAAACCGGTAAGCGATACGGCGGTCTTCTTGTGTAGCTAGAGAAATATCTGCTATCCAACCTTAAATTAAAGTTCGTTTGCTAAACAGAAAATTGCATATTATATAGTTTTAAAGCTACGTTTTATAAATATTTCTTCAGTCAGACTTACGGAAACCAACAGAATCATGCGACAGATAATCGAAACAAAATTTGAAAATGGCAAAATGCGATTGTTCCTCTGTTTACTCAAGGGTGCCAAGACAAGAGCCTTGAAAGCACCTACTTTCTAAGCAAACTCGGACGCTGGCAGATTGTTTTATTCCTTTACTATATTAGGGTAGAACCCCACAGCAGCCTTTGTTACACGAATTGGGGGACTGGTCCAGGGAATGTCACAGGAAACACGTATAGTGGCAGTAATATACTATTTTTTTAATTACCCCTGGTGAGTGTGGTTCCTAAAAGTTTTTCGATTTTGTTTGAATTTATTACTATGTATAAATAATATAGATTAGATAGACATCAACGATATCATATACGATCACACCGATATCACAACGATAGCAACGACCTACACGGCTGATGTAGATATTATCACATGATAATCAGGTGAATTGCCAGCTAGGGTAGCTTAGTTTCCAAAGGTTACCGGATAATTTGAGTGTCATTTGCACATTCCAGGAAAACATCCTGCTGAAGGCGCGAGGCAGTTCCTCGATCAAGGTGATAGACTTTGGCAGCTCTTGCTATACCCACGCCCGCGTCTACACCTACATACAGTCCCGCTTCTACCGCAGCCCCGAGGTCATCCTCGGCTTGCAGTACGGCACACCCATAGACATGTGGAGTATGGGTGAGTTTTTTTTTAGTTAAAAATGCCAACATTTATTGACTGGCACCTGCTTCACTACTGCCGCGTCTAAAGGTTATTGACGATTTGCCGATGCAATAGCTACATAGTCTTTTGTAAGATATTGGTTTAAATAAATGTACTTGATTATAACATTATATTACAATTCAAACAAAAAACCTAGCAATTAACCATAGAAAAAACCTTGAGCTTTTGATGTTAATTATAACAATTTTACTTATTGTAATGTTTTTTTTATTTTAAATATTATGATTTATCAACTGCGTGGACTCGGTAAAATATTCGACGTCGCGAATTTAGACCCAATTTTAAACGCGTTAAATTCAGTGAAATTCAATCATTTTATTTAACAGTATATTCTAGAAAATAACAGAAATCATTTTCTACCTAGGTAATTTTTAAGTACAGTAACATGTAACAGATATGTGATGCCTAGTTTTACTAGATCAAATTACATCAACAGATTTCCAGAAGGTTTCGAAGTCGCGACTACTACTTAGTTATTCAGTAGTCGAGTTCATAGATATATGACTTAGACAGTGTGATGCTAGACGTATAGAGCAATGACAGAGCAATGACAGCGTGTGCTCTCAACGATAAATCAAATCCATCTCCGCGCACACATATGTATCCGTCCAATGAATAATTGGGGTACATTTACTAAGTTTTGCTAGACGGCATCATAATCTTTACTTGTCGAAAGAACGCGCCCCGCGTACTCCAAACCGGTCTATGTGTAAATGAAGCGATCATGGAGCGGTTACCAGCGAGTTGCGCAACCGCCATCTATAGAAAGTCGAGAGAAAGGCCGGCACACGTGCGATCCGCGAAATGCAGTTAGGAGGCGCTTTTACGTAACCCGCGGCTGCGAGATGCCACAGTATTGTCAAATGACGCCGAAATGTCACGTCAAAACTTTGACTAACCGTGAATGTGGGTTAGTGTAAATGTTTTTACCCAACTGCCCAAGGAGAATTATGTATACGAGCATATAGCTCTACAGCCGATTGCTTTTAACATGTTAGGTGTCTTAAATTAGTTTCACTTTTGGGAGTAACGTTGAGTACATTACTTCAATATGGTTCTCGAAACGAAATAGAGAATTTGTATTTTTAATACAGTCGTGTTTATTTAACTTGTCATTGTTTGGCTACAGTTATTTAAATGCCCTTAAAGCTATTCTTGCACATACCTTTTACCTTGACAATAAAACTCTGGTAATTCGGAAACCCCTTCGGGGATGGTTCCTCGTGACGTTAATTTGCACCACAGGGCACATGTAGTCTAAAGAGCTTTGCACACTCGTATTATTTTTGCGACTAGTCGCATGTCAGCCGGTTCCTTTCCCGTGCAAAGGTTAAGTTTAACCATTTAGGAGCATGCAACTACGTTTCTTTTCAGCTTGATTTGTTGGATAATTTTAAATAATTTCTGTAAATATATCAGTTGATATCAATTAGTGTAAATGTTTGTAATTGTTTTGTAAATAATATTAAAAGTAAGGCAACATACTTGTTACTCAAAAACAGGAAGTCGGAAGAGACGCCGTGGTCCAACTACGCGACATAAAACAAATAAGAGTAGACTATGTTTCATAATGCGAAGGCTCAAATCGACATGTACGAAATAAAGGTAACAGATTTGAACGTTAAATCTTTGCCTTTATTTCATTCGTGAAAGGTCTAACGTTTATAATTTAAAAAAAAATAGGTCGCAGATTTCTACTGCTGATTGTATTGAAAGCATTATCGTAAAATTATTCGACTCCATTATATACTACCGTGAGGAGTTTGCACTGTAAATAACTTCCTAATGTATGTTCCCAGGCTGCATACTTGCGGAGCTGCACACAGGCTACCCGCTGTTCCCGGGGGAGAACGAGGCAGAGCAGCTGGCCTGCATAATGGAGGTGCTGGGTCCACCGCCACCGGACCTCCTGCTGCACGCGACCAGGAAGAGGCTGTTCTTCGGTAATTATACTAATGCCGTTCTGAACTTTCAACTAGGCTTGGTGCTGAGAAGCCAAACATACAGATCTTAGATTTATAGCAAGCATGTAGATTCTTATCTTTACTCTCAATTGCTAAACTGTGACACTTATAAATGTATACAGCGTTTATTTGCTACTTAAATAAGGTACAAAATAAAGCAACAAATAGAAGATTATAATTCACTGAGCAGATCGTCTGATAGAGATAACCTAATGGTGATAAGTACGTCATTGCTTACAATAGCTTAATGTTTTTAATAAATAAATTCAATTCTGACAGCTAAATGACATTATAAAACTTACATATATATACATTACTCACTTTACAAAATTGGTTACTTTACGAAGCTGGTTCGGGCGATGCTACTAATAAGCATGCTTATGATACATTTTTGCGTAATTCATATTACTTATGGATCTTGGATCTGTATTTTCTTTGGCTCTCAAGGTTGTGATTGTTTTGGACGTTTATTGAAAATAAGATAGACTCGTTGAGACGGATTAAGCGCTTTAATATTCGAATGCTCAAGCGGGTCAAGTGAGTTAGTTGGTAGTTTCGTAATAGTCTAAGCTTACGCAATGCCGGTCGCAAAACTAGACCTGTACAGGATTCGTTGGATTTGCAATGCGGTTGGAAAGCCCAGAGCACGCCTCACCCACGATGGAATTCCTAAAGCTCGCCACTCCCGTATCGACTTCCCCGTATTATACATTTCCTTTCCGGCTCAGACTTTTATGGCACTACAACTCAACTATCTCTTAATTGTTCATTCTTCTCCAAATATATAGGGTATTATATATTTAGGGTAAAGTTTCATTCGACAGATTTAATATTGAAAATGTCCGTTATCATTCAGTTGTTGGTCAGCTTTAGAGTTTTATTAATTGGATTATTATATGTTTATTGTAAAACATACTAAAGTTATCCTTTATCAGATTTCTTTCGTGAATAAACCACTGTCTTACTTTGAGTATGAATTATAGGCAACGAATACAAAGAAAATATTGCTACTGCTACCGGAAACTAAACTGCCACATCAGTGATAGGAGGGGAGGTTTGTGGCATTATTACATTTAACGAGGGCCCGATTATAAATCAACGGCACCTACGAATCCGAAGTATCTTTATGATTCAACATGCAAGGGTAAATCATCTCCTCCCACGCCCGAGATTTCAGGGTGACGTAAACGTTGGATACTGCTGCGTTATGCCGAATCTCCTAAACAAATCATCGTGTTGCAGACTCCAAGGGCTCGCCGAGGACCGTGACCAACTCGAAGGGCCGCAAGCGCCGGCCGGGCTCTCGGGCGCTCTCGAGCGCCGTGCGCACCGACGACCCCGCCTTCCTGCGCTTCCTGCACCGCTGCCTGGAGTGAGTTACAGTGCCTACCCCATAAATTAGTGCAGTCCTACGCAACGGGGTCCGTGGTGTTTTAGTCCGCGGTCGGTAAATTTTTATTCTCAATCTCACTCAAACAACCCACGTTAAAGTCCCGGTTAATTTTTTTCCATTTCACCAGCAGTGGAGCTCATCAACATCATCGCGAGGAAATTTGTACACCTACGAAATAAGACAATTTTTTTATGTGAGACAGTGCAAACCATCTGGCGGTTCTCCTGATGTTGTGATAACTGCCACCGATGGACATTAGCAACACCTGTGGGGCTGCAAATGCGTTGCCATCTTTAAATAAAGTGGGCCCCGGCTGCCTCTCTCACCAAACGAAACGCAGAAGTGTAACACTTCTACTTTACGCCGGTCTTCTGTGGGGTCGGACCTGACCGGACGGATTTTTGCATTCATGCAACAGTAACAGCTGTTGCGTGCCCCTACCACCGTTGTTCAAGACATATGACGTCCAACCCCAATGAACCCCACGGGTTTTGCAAATGTCCATGGGCGGCGGTTAACACTTAGCATTAGGTGAACCGCCACCTCACTTGCCACCTTCTCACATAAAAAAAGATTCTCTACACATCAGTTAAATTCATTTACCAATTTCCAAACACATGGCAAAGAGTTGTCGATTCCATGCGTTTGATCAATTTATACATTTGAAAGATTTGTAAATAATACTTTCGGATCTAACTGTTGTTCGTCCGCATACATTTTAGTTCATACACAGTACTCCAGAAAACAGAACATGTCTCAACGGAGGAATAAGATTTGATAGAACCACTAAAATATTTGCGGATTACGTCTTATATCTAAATATATTATATATTGTATTACGATGATTTCTTAGAGTATCAAAGTGAGTTTCACTTCTACTAGTCGTGATGAAAACTCAAACACTTAGAATAGAAAGGAATACATAATTTTATGCAACATTTTTAAATAACTTGCATGGCGTCTTCTTTAAAAACGCATAAATATTTGCAGCATCCAAACGCTTTTATTCTTAAATTTACTCGTGTGTCACATCAGAGTTGAATTTCTGCCATGGGCAATGTATACAATACATTCAAGGAGTTTTCCTTGATCACAATCAGCTTACGAAATTTTGAAGTTCGAATAAATATGGATATAATATATAAGGATGGTCCTGGTCCCACTGCCAACGCATGCACTGACAAAATTGTATGACGGCATTTTTAAGCTTCGACGATTAATATTTTATGTGTCATTTAAATTAAACTATTATGCGGATTTTATCGTGCTTGATTTTGACTTTCATGTTACAACGGCACGTCTAAATAAACCACAACCGCTCAACTGGCCCATAAGCACACACTCTGCATTTGTTGACAGTAATTCAATCAACGAAGCATATAAGACGAGTAAAGGATTCGATAAAAAGATTTCACCCGGTCTTCAGAGACTATGTCCAGCATATTGACCCTCAAGCCAATGGTCTAACTGGTCTATGCGATACCGCACGCGCCTTGTATGTACAATCGCCTCGTAAAGACCTTACAATACATATGTATTTAAGTCCTGCATACAAATTGCACGCGACGACTATGCCGCACGCATTTTGTATTAACCACCTCGGAATAAAGTACTAAGAATACTCGCTTACTAAATCGTATCCGAAGTACGATTCTTAACTAGTCGATTACTACAAATGTTTTACTTATATGCTCCTACGTCTTTTCCTACAGTGTAGCCAAAGATCCCTGACTTCGATCATTTAAATGTTTCTCTCAAAGGCGAACTGATGACGCTTTTCACCGCAAAAAGGACAACTGTAAGGTAGTCTGTTAGTTTTACAGGCTGGATAACCGCAAATCCAATAATTGAACAGCACTGAGATCCCAGCCAGTGGCTTTAGATCACAAATCCGTTGTCCCGTGTACTAGATCCATCTCTGCGTCTTGTGGTCACACTCCTACGACACCGTTATTTATTACTGTGATTATACACACCTGTATAATCATATATTTAATGTAAGATTTAATAAATCATGTAAAATTCATGTTCTAGGTCTAGTTCTAGTAATCAGTCACTGTTCAGGCTTGCAAGACAGCCAAGGCTACTTACGTTAAATGCATCGTTTTTTGACTCGAATGACTGTCTAATTTGTTATTAAAAGCTTATATTATAGTAAACAATAATATAAGCATTTAATAACAAATTTACTATTAACTTTTTAAATAGATACTCCATGTTTTTAAATACAGAATTATTTACACACGTTTTCTTATATTTAATACCTACATTTTAATAATATATATATATATATATATATATATAGTTGAAATGGTTTTGTATAAACTAATATAGTTTGATCCATATGTTTCTGGTCTGTTAGATTAGGTTAGGTTACATAAACAGAATGTATACCTATCCATAAACAGTATGTTTAAGACTAAATACACATAAAAATAGTTGTGATCACGTCGTTATGAAATTATCCTCGTAGAGTATGCGTCGTAATATATCTTAATGTTAAGGCATACACAATAAAAATATAAACAGCAATTACGAATAACGAAAACTATCACAAGAAAACATGTGAACAAAAGTGATTTGTCTTTTAATCTAAGGGAACAACCATTAATATCTTCTCACATTATTAAAAAAATATTTTGCCCTTTTATTTCTGTTTGTCTCAATAATTAATAAATTAAGATTTTATAATGTTGAAAGTGCTCAATTTTGGAGTATTTTATAAAACATGTAATAGGCTCACCGTTCAAAATCCATCATCATAAACGTATATTTTAAAACGACGTAAATGTAATGTTATGCAAAAAGAAAGCTTTGAAAAATCACAGAGATAATTAAAAAACGAATGGTATTAAGGTAAATTGCGTTAAAAAAGCATTATGCAATGTACACCATATAACATTGATACGAATGTTTACTTATGCGTTTCTTTATTCAAATTTCTAAACGAAGTCCGGTTAATATAATTTATAATTATGTAATTTAAATTTAGAATCAAAGAAAGTCGATAATCGAGTGTTAAATTATGTAATGAAGATCCTACATAATAATTTATTCTTTTGATGTGCTAATAAGAGAAAAACTTCGAAATTATACATTCGTTAAAATTATAGATTTAAATGACATGAATTCATGAATGGCTAATCTCTTTAGCAGGATGTTGAAGAAATAAACTAAATACTCGTTGAATTTAAATGAAAGAAAGAAACATAATGCAGAAAGTTACCATAACATAACTACTGTTAATTTTATATCCCAAAATTAACAGTACATTCGCAAACTGTACATTACGTTTTTACATGTAAAGAAAGAAACTTGTGAAAACTGTGTATTTCTTTATAAAAGTGGTACATTGTAACATATGACAGATAATGAAACGAATAAAAATTTCGGGTGACTAAAACTCACGCTATTCTGAATTCACAGTAAAGCACATTTGCTCGACTAATCCTACAAAAAGTGAAGTAATATGGAATCCTAATTGAGTAAAAATATTTAACCCGTGCGACAAGTATGCACCTGTCGCATTTGAGACTGACGGCCGGTTTCAATATTCGATCTGCAGATAGATATGGTTACCAGAGATAGAATTTTGACGTTAGTATTAAGGAGCTAATGTCAAATACCTATCGCTAGTAACAAAATCTATCTGTTGATAGAATATAGAAACGGGCCGTAAATAAATATCTATTCATTTTTAAGAGACGTGAAACCTCCTTGAATTGTTCGTCAGGATTAAATGCATTATAACTCCTATGTTACATACAAAGTAAGTAAAAATGCTAATTTTGGTCATCCAGCATTGCGACTTCAAGTCTAGAGTCCAGTTCCATTAACTTCTATTATGTGAGAAAAGAACGAAACATATTATTGAGATATTTTACTTATTGTACAATCTGTAATCGTCTTTACTCTATATTTTAAGTCGGGTTTTTTGACTACGTGCAAAAATTTATAGGCAAGCTTTTCTATCTTACCATTGGATGTGCGGTTACACATTTTATGCTATCAACTCTTTATAAAGAACAATTTAAAATTTCCTAATTTCTTTGTTCTCTGGATAGCAATTTCTATCAAATTACTGCATATTAATTGGGCACAATTAGCTGCTTATTTCTTCTTCAAATATCTGCAACCATCATGGTAACGTATTTGATATAGGGCTTATAAAGTTCAGACCTCCCGCAGCAGGCGTGGGAGTGCCTTTTTTTATGTTAAGAGGTGGCAAGCGAGCTGGCGGTTCATCTGATGTTAAGTGATAACCGTCGCCGATTGCATGTGCAACACCCCTAGTGTTGCAGATGAGTTGCCACCCTTTAATAAACTATTTAATGAACTGTGCCCCTGCTACCTGAATCACCAGACGAAACGCAGAAGTACCACACTTCCACTTCACGCCGGTCTTCTGTGAGCTCGTTGTACTTACCTGGACGGACCTGCCCATTCGTGCAACTGCGAAAACTGTTACGTGATCCTGCCACTCAATATGCGGCTCGTGAGGGGTACTTACTAGTTGCACCAGCACCATAAAGCCGGAAGGGGTGTTCTTGCACCCGAGAGGAGGACGCCTTTAAAGGCCATAGTGGTCGCGGAAGATGGCGTCGTGTTCTCGTGTGGCGGACGTGGCAGAGACCTTTGCAACCTAGGTTTTTTTTTTGTGGGTACCCGTCCCGTTCTGATCGAGACTCCCGCATAACGCTGCCGCTCCCGCTATCTGAGCAATGGAGCCAAGAAGAGTTATTCCCCACGTTAAAATAAGGGCTAATAAAATTCTCTCTACCGTCCACTCTAAATTGAATACCAATCTACATTTAATGCATCTTATGGGCAAAATGTATTTATCCATTTTTAAATTAAGTATTCTTGTATAATAGAATGATTTTGTGTTATCGCATATACCACACGATACCCAATAGACCAAAATAGAAAGAACAGAGCTACAATAACTTTACGTTTGTAGGTACATCCTTATAAGACTA